CCCGAGCCGTCCTCCCGTCCACCGGTGTCGCGCTCCCTCCGGGCGTGATGCTCCGCGTGGCGCTGGCGCTCCTCCTCCTCCCGCCTCCGCCGCTGCTGCTGCTGATAGCGGTGCTGGGCCTGGCGCTCATGTCTCTGCGGGCAGAACAGAGCCATTATGGAGACTGGGAAGAGGGGGTATGTGAGTGGGTGCCCGCCCAGGCCCATGCCAGTGCTCTCTACCAAAGTGGGGAGAAATCCAAACACTCCCTGGGTGCTTGCTGCATCCCTAGACCCACCCTGGGGCTCTGTAGAAGTGCTGAGAGATCTAAACACTTATTGGGCACCAACTGCATCCCTGGACCCATGCCAGTACTTTCTGAGAATCAAGAAGAGAATGAACATTTACTGGCCACCAACTGTCCCTGGTCACATGCCAGACACTGTTTTAGGAATTGGGAGAGTATAAACAAATATTGGGCTTCAATGATTCCCTGCTTTCTGGAGAACTGGTGAGACAGAGCTGTGACTGGGTCAGAACAGGGTCCACACTGGCCAGTCCAATGGCCGCATGTGCCTTTGTCAATGTCAATTAAAATCATGAAAAGAAAGAAAAGAAAAGAAAAGAAAAGAAAAATTCTGTTTCTCTGTTGCACCAGCCCCATTTCAAGCCCTCATTGGCCATCTGTAGTGAGGGGCTACATGGGCAGGGCAGATCTAGAACATTTCCATCATCGTGGATAGCTCCGCCAGTCAGTGCCAACGATCTCCTTGGCCCGCCCTGCAGCTTTCTGAGGAATGCGGCAGAGGCTGGGCTTCTAGGAAGCATCAGCTGTGTCCCTGGCCCCAAACAGGCAATGCTGGGTGAGCTGGCAGATGACAGTTCACAAGCGCCAGTCTGGTGCTGGACTGGATACCACCAGGATTCCAAAAGGGACCGGGCCCCTTTGGAACGCCAATTACTACACTGAGCTCTGCACATCTGCCCTCCTGCTAAGGACTTGGCTGCCAGCCAGGTGGGGTGGAGAAGCCCCACTTAGCGGAGAAGGAAAGCATTTCCCAGCCCCTGTACCTTAAATGCCTCCCGGCGCTGGTACTCCAGCTTGGCCATCTCCTCGGCCACCCAGCCTGGGATGTCGGGGATGGCCACGTGGATGAGGTACTTGAGGAGCAGAGCGAAGTGCTGAGGTGACAGAGGAGGAGGCTGCAGGCGCGGGGATGCCTACCCACCACCTGGCTCCCCCGCCCGGCCGCCAGGCCCACCTCAAGCACCACCACAGACACGATGGCCGCCTCGGGGCTGAGCCAGGGGAAGAGGCGCTGCAGCTGCCCACACTGGCCAATGAGATAGCAGTTGACCACGATTGCTAGGACACCCATGACCTCCATCACCTTCTGCAGGAGGAACATTGGGGCTCAGGTGGGGTCCAGCCACCCTCCCCAGCCCATTCTCCTCCTCAGTGGACCCCCGCTCCAAGCCCTCGGCCCAATTCCCCACCTGCCACTGGCCAATGCTCTCCACCCGCTGCCCAAAGGGCCGCTGCAGCCCCGTGCACAGCTTGAGGGCGTCGCTGCGGATCTCGATGAGGTTGTTGACCAGAGCGCAGAGGGCGGCCAGCGGGAAGGCAGACGAGAAGAGCACGACGTAGCCAAACTGCACAAACATCTCCTGGTAGTCCTGGAACGTGTCCTGTGGACGGGCACCTGGGCGTGGCCTAGCGCTCTCCCTCCGACCAGGCCACCTCTTCCCTCAGACCATCTTCCTCTCAACAAGCCCACTTCCCTCAGATTATCCTGCATGGACCCAGAGCTCCCCCTTTGGCAGGTTGCTGACCACAACAAGGGTCCCATGACTCCTTCCCATCACCCCAACCCCACCCCCACCCTCAGACTGTGTGCTGCGCCCCTCTGAGGGCCCTGCTTCCACCCTCAGGTGCCCTCCACACCTCATATTTCTTCATACAGCTCTCCAGCTCGGCCTGGGTGAGCTGGGGTGAGTGTTCCTCCTCTGGTGGGTCGATCCAAGATGACCTGTTCTGCCGACGCTGCCTCCGGGCTGAGTCACCCGAACTTGGCTCTGGGTCCGGGCCCCCATCAGGCCCCTGATCTCGGCCCTCGCCTCCGGCCCGGCGGAGCAGAACAGCCGGGGGTTCCCGCTCAGGGCTGCTGGGAGCCCCTTCGGCCTCATCATCTTCCTCAGCCAGTGTGAACACACTTGGTTCCAGCCCCTTCTCCACCATGGTAGGGCTCCCCTCCTCCAGGAGGGACTCTGGGCTTGGGCCAGGTCGATGCCGCCCGGATCCCCGCTCAGCAAAGCTGACCTTCTTCAGTCGGAGCCCGCAGTCCAGGAGGCCGCCTTCTTCACCTTCGTCCTCATCCTCATCCTCCTCTTCCTCATCCTCATCCTCGTCGTCCTCCTCCTCCTCCTTGCCCCCCCGAGGCCCATCCCCTATTTCCCCACCTTCCCCCGCGGGCCGCCGCTCCACTGTGGCTTCCTCCTCCTCCTCAGGAGCCCCACAGCCCCCGCTGAGACACCTGCGGCCCCCACCACTGCTGCTGCCACCACCACCCTCTTCAGCCTGGGGTTCGAGGTGGTGGAGTGCAGGGCGCCGGAGGCTCAGCAGGCCAAGTAGGGCACGGGCCAGCTCCCAAGCGGCCCGCAGGCCAAGCTCGCCACGGCCCAGCCGGCGGTACAGATGGGGCTGCAGCACCTCCCGAACATTCTGGAGGAACTGGCGGGTGATCAGCAGGGTGGCCAGCATCTGGGGGTAGGAAGGGGATGGAGAAAGGCCACGTGGGGGGCAGGCGGTGCCCCAGGCACTCGGACAGGCTGTGCGGAGACAGGCCACCCTCCTGGACCATACGCTTGCACACACACCCTGAACCCAATTTGGATGACCCTGGACAGGGAGGCAACCCCAAACCACAGCCCAGCAGGCCACAGCGCTCCTAGCCAAACTCCTAGGAAGCCTCAGGCCTCCATGCTTGCATCACCACCTGGGAGCTTAGCTGGTCCCCAGGGCCTGGAGGGGCCCCTGCCACTTGCACCTCATCAGCTGAGCCCCGTCCCCTCAGAGCATGCACCCTCAGCTCAGCATGAGGCCTCCAGCACAGCCACACTGCCCACCCTGGCGAGGCCCCAAGGGTTCGCCATCTGCCCGTACTTTGGCCCGGGCCACGAGCAGGAGACCCCGGAGGGAGAGGAGGAACAGGCGGAACCGCAGGGCCACGAGCGGGACCAGCACCGCCCAAAGCTGCCGCTCGAGGCTCTGGGACAGGGACAGGACGATCAGGAGCTGTGGAGGGACGGATGGACAGGTGGACGGACAGATGGAGGGAGCAACAGGCAGAGAGGACACACAGACGGATGGACAGAGAGGAGAAAAGGATGGAGGAGGAGGGGAGGGGCTGGAGAGCCCGTGGACCCCTTGGGCCAGGTCTGGCCCACTAGGGTGCCATAGAGGGCGCTGCCTCCAGCCAGGGTCTCACCTCTTTCAGGCGCTCCATGTCTTTGAGGTAGAAGCCAATATAGAAGAGGCTCAGGTATGAGTTGACGAACTGGAACTGTTGAAAGCAGGCAGGTGGGTGGTCACTCTGAGGCCACGACCCTAGGAGCCCCCACACGCCTCCTGCAGAGCCCCCGCCTGCCTGCTGACCACCACTCACCAGGACAACCTTGATAATGAGGTGCTTCTCGTAGGCGCTCTCCAGCCGGTAATTCTCTAGGGGCCAAGGAGGTGAGTGAGGGGGTGGCCCAGACTGCCTTGGGCAGCTGGGACCCCGTAGGGCAGTGGGGCCCTTCCTCCTGGGGGGTGGGCAGTGGGACATACCCATGTCATTGAGCCAGACAGCCAGCTTCTTGTAGCCCTCTGCACTTGCACTGACCAGCAGGGCTAGCATGACTTTTGGCAGGAAGCGGGCGAGACGGGGCAGTCCCTTCACGCTCAGCACCAGCTCCTGCAGGGATATGGGGTTCATGGATCATCCCAGCAGCTGGGCTGGGCTTGGGGTACACCTGGATAGGTGGTCGCCAGGGTGGGCCAAGGCCAGGGCTAGGGGCCGGAGGTCACCTGCAGCTGGAAGCAGCCGAGCATGAGCAGGAACACGCAGGCCAGGCAGGTGAGGCACAGGGGGAGACTCACGAGCAGCTGGAAGAGCAGCCGCTTCCAGGGAGGGTAGTAGAATTCTTCAGCCCGAGTCACAGGGCTGATGCGTCGCACGCCCTGCCAGAGGGTGAAGCCCAGTCCTAACATGAGATCAGAGGGGCTGCCTCTGCCTCATACCCTTCCCAGTCCTTCGAACTCAGCTTCCCTCTGTCTCTCTCCACCTAGTGCACCCTTCCCAGTCCCTCAAACCCAATTTCCCACCCCTCTCCCTCTGAGCATGCAGAGTCCCCACTTGGCATACCCTCTCGGATGCTGCAGCCCTATTTCATACCTCCCTTTGTTCCTGCAGGGACCCCCACCCCCCGACCAGTGTGCTTTCTCCCCTTCACCCAATTTTGGACGTTCTCAGACCCTCCCCCAACTGACCCTGAACTGGGGTCGTGGCTCCTCCACGGCTTCCCCAGGTGAGTCCAATGTTCCCCACTTATAGGCCAGCTCCGCCCCCCTCCGTTTCCACTCCTCCAAGAACAGCGTTGACCAGACCACGTTGAAGAGGGCAAAGACCACACAGGATACATCCCGGCTTGTCTGAGGGTAGCAGAAGAGGGCTGAAATGTCTGGCGCAAGGAGGGGAGTCTCTTGGGTGCCCCAATCCCTGTCCAGTCCACACACGGCACCTGATCAGCCTCCGTGAACGTGTACAGGACAGAGCCAAAGACGGCCGGGTACACCATTGCTGATGTGTAGAAACCCAGCCAGGCGAAGTACATGGCAATCTTGACTCCAAAGTAGTCGCAGATCTCATCTGCCAGGGATAGAGGGGTCCCAGTTAGCCCTGCCTGCCTCCTGGGACCCCCTCACCCATCCCCCAGCCTGGGCCACACCTAGAGGCTGGTTTTCACACACAGCCTGCACCCATGACTTCATGAGGCGGTTCAGGATGCGCTGCTCGTGGACTGGAAACACCTGCTGGATGATCCCTCGGGCCGCCAGTTCAGGGACTGTTGGGGGACAAGAATGGGTGACCCCACCCTTCTGTCTGTGCTGGGTTTGGCCAGCCCCTCCTTGGCTGAAACCCAAGTCACAGCTTTTTGTCTGCTCTTAAACTTGTAGAGCCTCTTCCCAGGGGAGTTCTGAGTGGAAGGAATATTTGGTTCTCCTTGAAAATTTGAGAGGTGCAGGGGCTGGGGGTAAGTGTGCAGGAAACCTGGAAGGGTGGGGCCCTAGTGGGGAACCATGTTTTTAAATAGAGCTATTTGCTCAAAATGTCTGGGGAATGGTGCAAAGCTGGCTTTAGAAAGTGAGCTTGCAGTGTCTGGTTTCCTGGAGGGGAAACTGAGGCTCAGGGCAGCACCACACAATACACCTAGTGCTGTCTATGGTCCTGCCCCTACCTTATCCCAGACCCAAAAAAGAATTTCTCTGGGACCTGCCTCTGAAGGGACAAACCCCACCCCTTTGCTGAGGCCACATCCCATCAGTTCATTGATCTATCTCCAGGTGCCCCCCCCAACTCTTCAGTAGCCCTTGATTGGTTGCATATAGGCCCCGCCTTCCAGCCCTTCCTACTTTGATACCTCCTCTTAGGATCCCAGCCGACACCCCACATATGATTGGAAGGTTGGCCCCGCCTCACTCACTGATTGGCTGGTCTTCCAGAAAGCGCACGTTGTGCAGTGCCTCGCCCTGCTTGGCACGAAGGTTCTGCAGCCAGAAGCGGATGATGCTCTGGCGCTCCTGCAGGGGATAGGGCGTGAGCACAGGGAGCAGCTGCCCACGGGCTAGGAATGTGCGCTGGGGGCCAGAGCCGGCCGCACCTGGGAGGTGAAGAAGCGCAGCTCACTCTCCACATTCTCGTAGATGAAGTCCTCCTCGCAGGAGAATCCGCGGGTGCCCCCGCCAAACTCAGCCTTCACTGCTTTGCGCAGACCCAGCTCGTCGGCCCCTCTGAGTAGGCTGCGGGAAGGGCAGGGGAGGTGGGATCACGGGGAGACCCTGGCTCACCATCCTGGAACTAGGGATGGTGTACCTGGTAGCCGCCTGGGACAAATGCAGGGTGGCTGGACCTCGCAGTTGGCGCTTGGAAGGGCGGGGAGCTGAGGAGCAGGGTCAGCGAGAGGCCAGGGCCAGGGACTCGCCTCTCATACGTGGCGGTGACGAAGAAGGCGTAGGCACGCGTGTGGCGGTGGTGGCGGACTTGCACGATGAGCTCGGGGATGCCCACGCGGATGTGGTTCAGCAGCCATAGCAGAGTGTGATCATCGGTAGTGTCTGCCAAGGGGCACAGGGACCGATGGCTTTTGCCATTAATGGTCCCAGGCCTCCTACAGACTCAGGGGAGCCCTGCTTAGGGGAGCTCAGTCTGGGTCCTAGGCGGGTGGCACAGGTACCTGGGAAGGTCATCAATACGTCGCAATTCTCTGTGGGCACCGTCTTCATCCACGCCTTGTGGGACACCAGATATCGACCCACCTGCAGGAGCCGCTTCCCAAAAAGCTTATCTGGGAAGCAGGCAGGGCAGGCTGGGGTCAGGCCATTCCCGGATCAGGACCCTGGTCTTCAGTTTTGGTCCCTCCAGCCCTCACACCTGATCTCACACTCGCCAGGGCTCCTCGGCACTCACTCTGGCATTTAAGTCCCTGTGAGCTCTGGGTTTGGCTTGCTTCCTTCCCTTCACATCCTTGCACCAGCCAGGCCCTTCTCTAGGAATGCCCTTCCCCCAGGTCCTCCCTTACAAATCTTACTCATTCTTGAGGCCCAGCTCCGCCTCCAAAACCACAATCGATGGGGCGCTCACTAGCAGCTCTGTGCGCCTCACCACATTATGTCAGCGCGTCCTCATAACTGGGTGCGGTTCTTACCCCCATTTCACAGGTGAGGCAACTGAGGCCCAGAGCATTTAAGTCATGCGCCCAAGGTCACATAGTTGAGCAGGATTCGAACCCAGTACTGTATGATTCTTTATCCTCTGCGGAGAGGCTCTCTCAAGTGCATCACTGCCCGGCCGCAATCCGTTAGCCCAAGGGGTGACTGGGTTCAGTCCCTGGCCGGGGCTCTAGGAGGGGCGTGTCCGGGTCTCTGCGCTGGGACCCACCACCCGCTGCACCGTCCCAGCCGCGCCCGCCCGGCTGCAGCCGCAGTGCCAAGGAGCGGGCCCTTCCACTGGACTCCAGGCCCGGGACTGCTGACTTCGATCCCCTTCCCTGTACAGCCGCCGCGAACACCCCATGCACCTGCAACCCTGTCAGATTCAGGTGCCGCACACATACCCAGAACTCCAGACGCCGGGGCTGCAGGCTCGCCCTCCGGCGGGGGCCTCTTGCCACGCTCACCCTCCAGGGACCGTGCCCCCCGGGCGCCGGACGGCGGCTTCGGTCATGGCGAGGGCAGGTCAGGTCCG